TTTCCATCCATACAATTTTCCAAACGAAAAAAAAAATTTTTTCATCCAAGTGCAATTTTTCTGAAAGGAATTATGGGAAAAACTGCAAAACTATGGAAAGCTATAAAAAATGCTATAAAACTATTAATGGAAAGCAATGTAACTATAAAAGTTTTGATTAGAAAGTTTAAAACACTTCTTCTAAACTTTGTCTTGCTAAGTTATCTATTTTTAAATTAAATAAATATTATTTTAATTGTTGAACATTATTTTCGAAGAATGCATAGCTCTAATTAGAATATTTACCTAGATTATTGGAATGATTTAATAATTAGTGGTAGAGGATTTTTTGTGTCAAATAGAAATATTGTGTCAAATTTGAAATTGAAGAATGATTTTGTAGAATTTCAATTTTTTTGGATAATTCATCAACACATAGATACAATATTGAAAACATTTTTGAATCTATGAATGATTCTGCGATGGGAAATTTCGTAAAACAAATTTTCACGTTCTTGTGACAACATTGTAATGGAATAGCTAAAATTTTGATTTTATAATTGTTTTATTTCAACTTCCCCCCCCCAAAAAATAACAGGGCTTGACCACCCAGAGGGCTAGAGAAATCTTGGAACGAGATGGCCCCAACCAACTTACCCCTCCAAAGACAACACCGGAATGGGTGAAGTTCTGCAAGCAGCTATTTGGCGGATTCTCGATTCTTTTGTGGGTCGGGGCAATCCTTTGTTTCGTGGCATACTCCATTGTCGCTTCAACGGCTGAAGATCCGTCTAAAGATAATGTTGGAATTTTTGGGATTTTTGGAATTTTTGGGATTTTAGAAATTTCGGGATTGTTGAGATTTATGTTTTGTTTGTTGTGTTGTAATTTTGTTTTATATAATTGTGTTTGGTTAGGTAACGTAGTGATATGATTTTTGATTTAATTCACGACTTGTAGGAGTGTAATTTTCACTTTACCGATTTAAATATTTTCTAAATATTTTGAGATAATTAACTTTATTTACAAAGTTTTCGGCGGTTTGATTTTGAGAAAAAAAAACCGAACGAAACTGTTACTAGAACTGTAAAATTGATAAAAGTTAAGCAAATTACCAGCCAGCCACGACAAAACCAACCACACCTAAAAAGTTTTTTCCACATTCATAAATTTTCCTCCACTTAGCTCTACCTTGGCATCGTGTTAACCGTTGTTGTGGTAGTGACAGGATTGTTTTCCTACTATCAGGAAGCCAAAAGTTCAAGAATCATGGAAAGCTTCAAGAACCTCATCCCCCAGGTCTGTTCTTCTTCCTGATTTGTTTGAATTTAAAATTGTTTGAACTGATATAGCGCACTACGCTTTATTTCTGAAAGACTTTTGAAATTAACTTTTTTTTCTCTC